AGGTGTCAGGCTGGGACCGCAGCCCAGGCCCGCCTAAACCCGGCCCCTGGAAAGCGGCAAGGGCCGCAGAGCCTGGCGTCGGAGGGTGTAAGAAACGTCTCATTTGTTAAACGGGGTGGTTACTAGATGAAATTTAATTTTGCTTGCTTTTTAAAAAGTCCGCTCTCCCGCATCGGCACTCGTGGCCGAAGGGTTCGTGGCCCCGTTTCTCCAAGCACTGAGCTCTTCACGGTGCTGCGGGCAGCCCTCGACCGGAGGGAGGCAGTGCGGGGTACAACATCTCCTCCGCAGGACGGGGGCCCAAAGCCTGAGCCTCCCCCAAGGGCTGGGGCGCAGTGAAGGGCAAAGCACCCACGGGTGCTCCCCGCTGCCCAGCCCAAGCCAGGCGGGCTGCCCGCGGAGACAGGCCCTGCCGCCTCGCAAATGCCGTGGCAGCCTTCCTGCCGTACAGCTGTTTTCAGCAGACCTGGAGCCATAAGCCAAGGTCAGAGCCCACTACCATCAGTAAAGTTCCTTTGCCCAGTCCTGCAAAGGCCTGCCCAGGCAAAAGGGCTCAGCACTCAGGCCCTAGGGAGAGTTCAGGTTTTAGAAACTTTCCCCATTTTTTTTTTCCCTGTTGTTTGTTTCCCAGTGGTGAAAAGAGGTGCAATATCAAAATTGCATAATGTAATGGTCTGCATTAGCCAATTCCTTGTTAATCACTGACTTGCACAATGCATTTTGAACAAAGGTAATCCTGTACAGAGGGGAAATCTCAGTAGCAGCAATTTCAAATGCACAAGTACAGCTACAGTAAAAAAATCTGCTTAATCATGCAGTTTTTTAATACCCTAATCTGTTAGCCTGCTGGAGAATGCAAGGTAACAGGATATATGAAAATATTAACAATATATTTCAATGCAAGAAGCTATTACAGCTGAGAAAAATATCTTTTAAAACAGCCACCTCAGGTACCTTAGAAAGAAGCTGGGATTGAATATACTATTCAACATGACATTTAGAAAACATTAATACAAAAGGGCATATACACAGGAATATGGGAAGTGTTTTGTGAACTTCCTGATGTTAAATATAATTACTCCATAAACATATGTTCAACACTCACAAATGTTTAAGCTTCTCTAACTATATTGGTTTGTAACGTGAACATAAACCAAGCCTAAAGGTTAAACATTTACTTGTCACATTTATTGATGAGTTTTCTCAGTCTGTGGCTTTTCATTAAAACGAATTAGCAATTTCATCATGTTTATTCTCCAAGCTACTATTTGTTCCCTCTCTCACCAATGACTACTCCCTTTGATCATTAAAAATAGTTTCTTAATTCATTCTGGAGCTGTATCAAAAATCTCAATGGTCGCTTTTAAATTCTTTTCAATTTCTACTGAACAGCTCTTAATACCCAAGGCTATATTTTACTGCATGTACTAAGCATGCAATACAATAGGGCTACAGCCTGGTTACGATGTCTAGATAGTACTTGATCCCCCAAATTGGTTTTTTGCTTAAATACAACCAGATCACATTTGAGCAACAGCCTTTCAGAACTTGTTTCTGGACTAGCTAAACATTTCCTGATACACGAAGAAACAGTCTAGCATTAAGTATTAAGAGAATTCTGTGCCGCCAGCTCAGAGGGTTTACAATCAGAAGGGACAATTGCCACATGGTCTGACCGCTTCTGACTCTCATCAGCAACTTTTGCACCAAGTCCACAGTATTTGAGTTACACTGTATCTCTTAAAGGCATTCGGTCTTCATTTAAAGACTGACTGTAACAGAGAATCTACAGACTTTATAGTTCTGTTTTTCAGTAGTTGATTACATTGTTAAAATGTGCACCTTGCTTGTAATCTCAATTTCCAAAGACTGGTTTCTGTTTTATCTAACAGATTAGAGAGTTGCCTCTATGATAAAAATCGTTCCTGTGAACACAACCAATACACCATGACCAAGTGACAACCCAACTTTGAGCTTCTCTATTAGCTATTTCTCATCTTTTTAATAAAATATCATCCTCCTTAAAATGTGGGTAGCCTATAACTAGTATTCCCGTATTGATCTTGCAAATATATAAAGGGTGTAAATCCTCTTTGTATTTCCATTTAATATTCCCTTCTTATATAATTAAGTCTAGAGTTTTTAGTTCTGGGCATAGTGCCACTTCACACAGCTTCACTACTAATGGTATGAATACAGCACAAACCTGACTGATGGAGATGGGTATCAGTGTGGTATGGTACAAGACAATGAACAGTAAACCAGATGGTATAGTGCACCTATGATTCCCACCTAACAGATCTCTGCCCCGCAGAGTCCACTACTTCCACTCTCTGAAGCTGGACTGACACAGCTACTGGATCTCAGAATTTTCATTGACTAGAATAGATGGGCACAGCTTTAGATCCCAATTCAGCAAGGTACAAAACCAGCCTCTTTGCTTTAAGCATATAAGTAGTCCATTTCATGTCCACTGGAGACTGAAAGGATAGCAGTGTTTCCTGAGTTTGTTGACAAGATCATACTGATCATTTCACAATAATGACCTTCTGCAAGACAGTTTTTGCAAGAGGTATTCTGCAGGATGACCAGCTGGGGTGCATGGAGTTCTGCCTGGGGATGAAGGAGTGTCTGACTGAGAGCTTATGGGTCAGGATTAAAGGGAAGGCAGGGACAGGAGACGTTATAGTGGGGGTCTGCTACAGGCCACCCGACCAGGAAGACCCAGTGGATGGGGCACTCTATAGATGGATAGAAGCAGCCCCATGGTCAGAAGTCCTGGTCCTCACGGGAGACTTCAACCACTCCAATATCTGTTGGAGGGGCAACACAGCAGGGCATAAGCAATCCAGGAGGTTCCTGGAATGCCTTGATGATAACTTCCTTCTCCAAGTGCTAGAGGAGCCATCAAGGAGATGTGCAATACTGGACCTTGTTCTCACCAACAAGGAAGGGCTGGTGGGGAGTGTGAAGCTCAAGTGCAGCTTTGGCTGCAGTGACCATGAAATGGTGGAGTTCAAGATCCTTAGGGCAGCGAGGAGGGCGCACAGCAAGCTCACTACCCTGGACTTTGGGAGAGCAGAATTTGGCCTCTTCAGGGATCTGCCTGGTAGAGTACCATGGGATAAAGCCCTGCAGGGAAGAGGGGCTCAAGAACACTTGGATATCCACGGATCACCTCCTTCAAGATCAGGAACAATGTATCCTGACAAAGAGGAAGTCAGGCAAAAATGCCAGGAGGCCTGTATGGATGAATGAAGAACTCCTGGACAAGCTCAAACACAAAAAGGAAGCCTACAGAGGGTGGCAGCAAAGACAGGTAGACTGGGAAGAATGCAGAGACACTGCCTGGGTAGCCAGGGATAGGTTAGGAAGGACAAAGCCCTGATAGAATTAAATCCAGGTCAAGGGCAACAAAAATGCTTCAGTGGGTACATCAGTGATGAAAGGAAGATTAGGGAAAACGTGGGCCCTCTTTGGAAGGAAAAGGGAGACTTGGTTACCTGGAATATGGAGAAGGCTGAAGTACTCAATGACTTTTTTGCCTCAGTCTTCACCAGCAGGTGCATCAGCCACAACATGATGCAGAAGGTAAAGGTGAGGACTGGGAGAAGGGAGAATTTCCCACTGTCGGAGAAGATCAGGTGAACAAGTCCATGGGACTTCAGGGGATGCATCTGCAGGTTCTGAGGGAATTGGTGGATGAAGTGGCTAAGCCACTATATCCATCGTATTTCAGAAGTTGTGGCAGTGTGATGAACTTCTCACTGACTGGAAAAGGGGAAACATAACACCCATTTTTAGAAAGGGAAAAAAAGACCTGGGGAACTACAGGCCAGACATTCTCACCTCTGTGCCTGACAAGATCATGGAGTGGATCCTCCTGGAAAATATGCCAGGGCACATGGGAAATAAGAAGGTGATTAATGACAGACAGCCTGGCTTCACTAAGGGCAAATTGTGCCTGATGGTTTGGTGGCTTCTACAAGAAGGTTAGTGCTGGTGAACAAAAGGAGAGCAACAGGATGTCATCGACCTGCACTTGAGCAAAGCTTCTGACCACATGACTGTCCCGCATGACATCCTTGTCTCTAAATTGAAGAGACATGGATGTGACGGATGGAGCACTCGGTGGATAAGGAACTGGCTGGATGGTCACACTCAAAGAGTTGTCGTCAACAGCTCGATGTCCAAGTGGAGAGCAGTGACAAGTGCTGTTCCTCAGGGGTCGGTGCTGGGACCGGCGCTGTTTAATATCTTTGTTGGTGACATGGACAGTGAGATCAAAGCACCCACAGTAAGTTTGCCAACGACACCAAGCTGTGTGGTGCAGAGGCTGGAAGGAAGGGATGTGCCATCCAGAGGGACCTGGACAGGAGTGAGAGGTGGGACTGTGCAAACCTCATGGGGTTCAACAAGGCAAGGGCAAGGTCCTGCACATGGGTCGGGGCAATCCCCAGCACAAATCCAGGCTGGGCAAGGAGTGGATTGAGAGCAGCCCTGAGGAGAAGGATCTGGGGGTATGAGGGGATGGGAAAACGGACTGTGAGTAAGCAACATGCACTTGCAGCCCAGAAAGCCAACCGTGTCCTGGGCTGCAGCAAGAGCAGTGTGGCCAGCAGGTCAAGGGAGGGGATTCTCCTCCCCCTCTACTCCACTCTCATCAGACCCCCCCTGCAGTGCTGTGTCCAGCTCTGGGGACACCAACAAACAAAGGACATGGACCTGTTGGAGCAGGTCCAGAGGAGGCCACAAAGATGCTCAGGGGCTGGAGCAGCTCCCCTGTGAGGACAGTCTGAGAGAGTTGGGGGTGTTCAGCCTGGAGAAGACAAGGCTCCGGGGAGACCTTAGAGCGGCCTCCCAGTACGGAAAGGGGCTGCAGGAAAGGTGGGGAGGGACTCTGCATCAGGGAGTACAGAGATAGGTCAAGGGGTAGCAGTTTTAAGGTGAAAGAGAGTAGATTTAGGTTAGATATTAGGAAGAAATTCTTCCCTATGAGGGTGGTGAGACACTGGCAGAGGTTTCCCAGAGCAGCTGTGGCTGCCCCCTCCCTGGCAGGGTTCAAGGCCAGGCTGGACGGGGCTTTGGGCAGCCTGGGCTGGTGGAAGGTGTCCCTGCCCATGGCAGGGGGGTGGAGCTAGAGGATCTTTAAGGTCCCTTCCAACCCAAATCATTCAATGGTTCTGTGATATTTCTTCTAAAAATAATGCAATTCAGAGATGTGTATATTTTATACCTGTAAAACTCACATTACTACTTCCTTTCTCCCCCAACTCTGCTCAATTTTTTTTTCCATTTACACAAGAGAAGTGTGGTTTTCCATTTACTGAGAGAATTCAGTACCTCCAAAACCCAAGACCAAGGTACCTCACAATGAATACTTGAAATGACATATTTGCTGATGAATAGTACCCCAAACATACAGTGCATCAGAAAAATAATGAAAAATCTCAGGATTCTTAATCCAGTAATCTCTACTTTAAATACATCTAGTAATTTCCCTTGCATCCTATATACAACTCATTCTAAATAGTGTTCCCAACTGTAGGCCTTAGGAATCCACACCATAGTGATTTTTGTACTGAAGAACAAAATGATAGATAAACAGAATTTTTAGCCTCTCACAATTCTTGCTGTTAGCTTTCACAAACACTAGACTGACTTTCATATAAATGAAAGCATTTTAGTTCATACTAATGCAGTAGCTGGGAACTGCATAAAACGGTTGTCTAAATTAACCTAACTTGACCTAACCTTTAAAATAATTACACAAAGAAATTACAATACAATAGTATATAAAAGTATTTGCCTCAGGATTTATGGCCAATGGAAAAAAAGTTTAATAGTGTAAGTTAATGACTGGAAACTCACATAATATTTTAGTTTTATACTATATAGTCATGATTTGTACTGTAAATGAAAATGTATTTAAATTGAAATATTGAATATTTTAAAATAAATATATTCCACAGAAAATCCAAAATGAAAATTCAAACTTGAAACAATGGTATCAAAATTCAGCTTCTTTTCTCCAGGATCAATCATTCTTTGAGTTTTAAAAGACTGGATTCTTCTCAGTCCTTATCTAGGTAGTTTGACACCAGACAGCCAAGCAATAGACAGCAGAAGAAAGGGCAGCTTGACTGGAGTGCCAAGCAGGCTAATTCAGCAGCTGGTTGATGTCAAATACAACAGATAAGAGCTCAGTTCTCCCTACTTTTTCCCAGTTGGAGGGTCAATAGGATCTCTTTCTGCTGTCTGGCCACTGCTTCTGCCCATATTCATATCAGTGTAATGCCTTTGAAATCTTTGAAAGACTGTTAAATGTTTTACAAGAGCTTCAAAATTTATTAGGACATAAAGACCAGGAAGATTTGATAGATGACAATATATGCTAACTAGGTTTTCCTCTAAAAAAACTGATAGCTTCTTTCTTCTTATTAATCTACTTTATACTTCTGGAAATTTGCATTGAAAAGTACTAAAAACTTTCAACTGAATCAGATCATATATTGCTGTACATATACCTATTTTCATTTGAAGTACATTCTTATTATTTTGCACTCACTATTATTGTTTAGAAATATTATCATTACTTTAAAGTGGAAATAATTTAATACAAAGACAGAAAATACAATTATAGCAAATATTATTCTTACGGATGCACAGGACTTTGAAATAATTTTGCATTTTTATTGGTTTAACTAAGACTGTGAATCTTTGATGTGCTACAGACTTTAGAGTTGCTAGATCCTTAACTAGCTCTCATTAATCCCAGTGTGATAGATTTATTTTTTATCTATTAGATGTCAATTATTACTACGAATTTTTTTCAGTCTTTCTATTCCAGATCATAGTTTTACGACCTTGAAGTTCCTCTAATACAAATGTTTTTACTCTGGCTGCATAAAAATTTAGGGCTTTATTTACATGGAATTAGCCTTTCCCAGAAGCTCATGATCTAGGGGCAGACTGAAGTGATTCCGCTTTTTTTAAATTTAGTAAAAGAGGTTCAAGTCATATTTGCAGCTGCCAATCTACATATACTGAAGATACATTTCTTCCTCAGGGAGTTGTGGTAGAAGTTTCAAACCTGTAAAAAGTTCTATAGAGGTTAATCCCAGGGCCCTTATGAACTTGTTCACAAAACAGTTGCAAAATGATACAGGTGCATAGTGCCTACAGAGTGGGACATTCTGAATATTAAAGACACTGTTCTAAACCAAGAACATTCTCTTAAGTTTCTATGCAATATAAACTCACCTATTAATGTTTCATCTGCCTCTCTAAACTCAGTTCTCTTTTCCTAAGATATGCATACACTTCTCCTCTGCCCCCTCACTGGCACTCCCTAGAGTTCTCAAGCCCTCACTTCACCTTTTGCAGCTATTTTATAAGACATGACACTCAATCTGTCATCAGACTTTCCGTTTCTCATACTGATTCTATATTATACTTACAGATTGTTTGATGTAATGGTGTTCTTTAGGAACAATTTCTCTCCAGTCTCAACTGCCTTGTCTGTAAATGAAAGAGAACACCAAGTTTGCATGTTTTCTTTTCAGATTTTCTCTCTACTGTGTGAAAATTTAAGAAGAGCCTTTCTTAACAAACACATCATCTGGCTCCAAATCCAACAAAGCATTTACACTTAAAGACGTTACAAAAAGATAATTGAATTGATTCAAGGGTCTATTTCTGTACATCAGTTAGAAGATGTATGAGACATCAAATAAAGAATACTCAAGACTGATAATATAAAGGATTTACTGTCAGGATTTTGCAATTTAAATTTGATGACAACCCCTATTTTTCAGTCTTCTGAAGTGAAACATTAAATGTAGCCATGGTCAACCCTCTGTGCACAAGATGGACTACATAAATTGTCTGTTTTTACATTATTTTCCTCAATAATCTTTCCTCTTCCCCACATGCTGAATGTACTCTGCTGCTTCCTACCATCTTGGCATTCATCGTGAACACCTTAAAAATCTTTAAAATACCATAACTAGAAAGAAAGTTTATGTAAAGCTATTCAAAGGATGTCATAATATAACTGAATTGCACTTTGAAGTTCATTTATTTTAGTTTACTTTTTCTACTTACTGTAAGGTTGCAGTGAAAATTTTAAAATCTGATTTTTAACGTAGGCTTTTTATTGCATATGCTCAATCATTCTTTCTTCACACAAAAGAATCTGCTTTCTCACATTCAGCTTGATTAAAAAGCTACCAGTTGGTTATGTAAGTGCAGTATATGGAATGCATGCCCAGAATTGCTGGCAGCACATTACTGACTGAAAGAGTGCAAGACCCTTCAGAAATTTCTAAAGCTATGTGCAGGGTTCTTTCATGGCAATTGTAAAATGCACTTTAGGAGCAAGAGCTAACTGATCTCACAAGAACAACTGAACTTAAAGACTTAATCTTTTATTCAAAAGTGTAAGAGAGCTCCAAGGAAAGGAGAAAAAAAAAAAAAAAAAAACAAAGGCGGGGGACACACAGAAAAAGATATTCAAACTTATTGTTCAAATTCGAAACTTGAGTTAGAATAGCATGGGGTAGATAGAGTTCTTGCCTATCTTGCCTAGCCGGCCAGGATTTTCAGACCAGGTGCATACCAGAAAAATAAGGATTCAGAGGAATGTCTGAAAGACAGGAAATATCCATGAGAAATTAAAGAAATGCCATCAGTAGACCTGTGCTGATTAATGCTCAGATGAGGATACAGCTGTAAGGAATTGAAAGAGAATTTCACTCAAACTTAGTTTTGCTGCACACAGTGTCATACTTTCTGGAATTTTTTTTTTTTTTTCTTTAATCTGCATACTGCCAACTCAGCCTTTTTATTGGAACTGCTAGTAAGAGATAAAAATATGTTTCCTTAGTACAATGTAATTGAATGAACAAGCTGAATGGACTGGGTTTGAGGCTCATACATTTTTTTTTTTTTTTTTTTTTTTTTTTTAAACTTCATAAAGGGGAAAAACCTGGGCATATAACTAAGAGGAGTAAATTTTCTCCTGCAACCAAGAACCAGAGAAACGTATGGTAAGTAATGGAGTGACTGCCACAGCTTATTGAAGTAAATACTTTCCCAAGTCAAACTCAATCATATTTGTAGTCCATGTTTTAATGAAGCAACGATTTGAAGGAGCTGCAGAATCACATTTTTATGTTCCTCTTACCAGAGGGAGCATTTTCTTTTCCATATTACAAGTTAACTTTCTGACTGCAACCTAAAAATGTTATGCTAAGGTTCTGGAGTAATTCTGGGTTTGACCTTAAAGGAAGTTCACACAGTCTATGGGACAGAGTCCTCAGGCCTGTTTTCTGAATTATTACATAGACAAAATTGCACTTAAATTTTGGAACAAATGTGAGTTTTGTCTTTGCTTCTTAACAACTACATAATACTCTACTGTGGAAGAAGACCTGAACATCTCCCTGGCACAATGAACAGCAGCTAAAAGATGTGCTCTCAGGCTGTGTTTGCTACCTGCTCTTATAAAATACATGGTATCAATCTCATGCTATTGATATAGAATGACACTAACAAAGTTATCTTTCTGTATTTTTGCATGTGTTGTCTCTGGAGGAGTTCAGCATGGATTGAGGAACTGTATCTTCCCAATTTGATGTGTCCTACCACCAAAGAGGGTATTTGGCTGTATCATGTAGCTAATTTGCCTTTTCAGCATAAAAAACAAGTTCTCTCTGGCTTTTGCTTCCAGTAACTGAGGTAGGGCTTCTTTAACAGGATATAAGAGAACAGTGTTGCAAGTTCCAAACAGAAGTGCCTTGTGCTACACCTCTTACAGACTGTCAAATTTTGCTGCTGTTTTCCGAGCACCTGATTATTCCACTATTTCAGACAGGGTATTCAGCAGTTCTGATGCCTGAATATTATATTTTTTTATATATATAAAAACATTTAAGTTGATTTCTAATGCAGAAAAAGAGATCTGCAACTTTTAATTTTGATGATACCAAAAAGTGAGTAAAAAGACTGTGATTAAAGCTAGATGCTAGAATGAACAGAAATCATTAATGCACCATTTCTCTAGTCTCATTTGATGATAAATGTAAAGTAAGGCTCACTGGCTGTGGGGTAGGCTCCTAGACATCCCGTAAACCCTGGAATCATGTTCCTTGTAAAGAACATCAGAAAAAATGAGATCACATAACACTATTATTATCTAACAGTTATAATCACAAAGCACTGTTCTAACAGTCAGGGATTATCTATGAGTTAGAGGACAGTTCATTTTTCATAGGCAGCAGGGGAGTAATGTACAACCTCTGCTACTGATGGACAACTTGCTCTGGCTCTTCATGGTAGCATCACAGAGTAAGGCAGCCTTGATTTTACATGCATTGCTAGCCTGTCCTTGTTTTACTCATGCTTCCAAGTTCACAGTCTAATCACATTTTCAAATTCAAGTCACATAACAAAAACATTTTTGATTGCTATTATTTGCACATAGTCCATTTCATTAAGTCAATTAATTCAGTGCAGTATCACAGGGGTTGCATCAATACTAAAGCAATGTTAGCGTGGTGTTTACATAAAATTCACTGTCATAAATTACTAGTATAGTATTTTCTTGATTTGTAACCTTATTTCAGTATCAAATCTCTTCCAACTTTAATTATTATTCCTTAAGCCTCTCTTACAGTATTTTTGTTCAAATACTGCTCCACTCACATTTATTGCCTAGAGGTTCTTTTACCCTAGTCATTTGGTTGCAGAGGTACTGCTGAACACCTACAACTTTCAAGGAAGAAGTTGAACAATCCTTATTTAAGACTTGTTCAGTCCATCCTTGTATTCTGCCTTGATCATTTACTTCCCTTTTCTCTTTGTCTAACACTGTATCTTTGCTTTTTCTTCTTCTATATTTGCTTCTCTTCATTTTGCAACATAATGTACTTTCTATCATATCCATTCAGACAAGGACTCTGAATAGACTGCCTGGTCTGGATTTAGTCACTCTTCTCTGTTTTCAACAGCTTGATAGCATATTAACTGCACACTGTAGCTCAATCAACTCAAGAATGTTTCCCTACCTGATCCTTTTCAAATCTGCAGGATAATGATTCCCTACATGAATCATGACCTGCTCTGCTTTCAGTTATTCAACCAAATTTTATCTACATTATTCAATTTTCCAGAGGAAAAAACCTTCCAAAAAATAAAGTTGAACAGAAGCAGTTACCTATCTCTGAATTAGTGAAATAATCCTTTCGCACCGGTCATTCTTCGTTACATCTGCACACTGCCATTTGGCAGACTCTATGCTACATAAACATAAAACCAGCTCTTCATTACTGGTTTTGATCATGATACAAACTGAATGGAGTCATTAGCCAAAATGTTATCCATAATTTCACGTTTAAAAATATTTTTAAGCTGCCAAATATTACAAATATTGTTTCAGCTGCATTGATTAAAAACCACTAAGTAATCATAACTGTATACTCCCTGAGGATGTTTCAGGAAGTTATATACTGGAACCAATTTTCTCTCCAATATGGTTGTCTAAATTCAGGTCAGGTAGCCACTGACTTAGTTGTCTGAAATTCTGAAATCTCCATAGCAGAAACATATCATGTGTACATGGCAACAGCACTGGTACTTCATGTTGATTTCTCAAATGTACATAAATTAAAACCACCTTGGTTTTCATAGAAATTATTATAATAGCTAAGCACAACAGCATCTACATTTTTAACCAGTTGGGCCTCTGGTAGAATATTATCATAGAGAATATACAAAACATGACAGATATAGGTACATTTATTTTTACTTATTGCCTCTTTGTAAAACTGCTGTGTGTACGTACTTTTTTTAGTATCCGTTATAAAAAATTAAAATACTTATCAGTGTTCAAAAATTCCTGGGAGTCCTGCAAAAAACTGTTGTAAATAAGGACATGTAGAAAAGAGACAACATTAGACATTATAAATTATGCATTGAAGAGCTGAGAATTTTCTGTGATTTACAAATATGAGATTAACCAAGTCATTATGATACGCATCCATTTCTTAAATTGGACATACGTTGCACTAGTCAGCTTCATGATTAATCATGAAGTGTCCCGTACAATTACCAGAACTGTGTTGAGTCAAGAATCTTCTATTTAGTTAGCAGCTTCTCTGATAACGTCCAAGACAGCAAGTTATGTTAACAAAATTACTTCCATCTATAATTCAGTCACCCATTTGGGGGTTAAATTCTTCAGGTTAGGAATCAAAAACACAATCCTGAACCAAAATGGACTACAAATTAATAGAAGCAAAAGGAAGGTTGATTTCCCACACACCTCTGCATAACTCTTGACATTTTACTCCATTCTCCACACATTCCTTTGCTTTTATGCCCTCTTTTACCAGAGGCGCAAACAATCTCTATTGATGTACCTAGTTATGTCTGGAAAACATTAATGTTGATATAGTGAAAAAATGTAATGTAGATTCATTTTCACGTAAGCTATTTTCTCCTAAATTACAGAAATGTAGAACGGGAGAAAAAATAAACTGTTTTTTTCCAATGTTTATTTATATGCTATTTAGGAAGGGACGACCACATTTTCCTGTCAGTTGCAATAGAGAAAGCCCGTTAGGTTCAATGCTGGCATGCAAGTATTAATGACAGCAATGCTTCTGTCCTTATCCGTTAATTAAATCTAGGGAACGTTAAATTGCTGTGCACTTGCACATCCTGGAGTAATCTGTGAGCGTAGCTCTAAGAGGTATCCAGTGAGGGGAACAGTCTCACTGAGCACTTCGCTTGCTCTGCAGCTGTGCGGAAACTATTTGGGTACTGACAGCCAAGGGTCTGCTTCTAAACAAAAAGTGTAATAACAGACTTCTGTTTATATTTCTTTTAATTTAGACACTAATTAAGATCTCTTTTTACTACTTAACTGTTGTTTTTTCAGAAAACGTGTACTTTTTTTTAAAGTAGTTTCCACTTAGAAACAGATGGAAAGCCTGACTGCTTTACTCTCAATACAGAGAGTGTTTTCCTTTAGCCTCATCTGTTCAAACATTTATAAATAATACCTACACTAGACTACTAAAGGTTAAGCCTGTACAATGTAGTTTAACATACCTTTAATATCAAAATGTCCAACAGTAGGTGGCGCATGTATTATTTGCAGTATGAGTATTTCACCATTTTCTTTGTCATTTAATTCTACAGCAGTTTTAAAACCATTTGCAGTACAATTGTTGAAAAGCACATATCTTGACATAATTTAAAGGGATAATTATTTTTAATTCTTAATTGCTACATTAAAAAAGAAGAGAAGAAACACCAAGCTAGCTTTTCAGGAAATACTAGGCTATAGGAAATTAACTGACAAAACATGGTTACAGCAGACAAATTACAAAAGCACCATTTAAAAATTAAAATTAACAGAAATTTACATATTCTGATTCTTTTTAGCCTAATTTTTTTGTTAGATCAGCTGTTTCAAACAGGTAGATGTGCTAGGCTAATAATTATTCTCTCAACCTCCACAATTTCAAGTGGAATAGAATTTTCATATGGGAACGAAAATGTGGCCATAAATAAAATATAATAAAACCAGGTCCTGTGAACATTAACACAGAAAAAAAGCAGATTTTACCTATTTCTTTGAAGATATACTTTATTCAGGATATTGAGGACTCAGGATAGGATATTCAAATATCTTTTGATATTTGAAAGTCTCAGACCTGGTTCACCAAATAAAAGAGTTCACATTTATTTATTGCATATTTGGTATTCAGCCTGTTGTATCAAGTGCTTTGTTCACATTTGTTGTAACATCTAGTATGTTCCATGAAAAATAAATGGTTTCAGACACGCTGGATTTCTAGGTTTCAGTTACGCTTTATCACTTTAAACTTGGAAGAAAAATGTAAGAGGCAGAATTTAGTATCAGACACTATAGTTCTAATGTTTCTAGGAACTATGTGAGTTCTTTATACTTTTCTTCCAAATGCTGTTTCAGTGAAAATAATCTAAGACAGGGTTCTTGAATATCTGAAAATCTATAAATATGTAAAAATTATAAACAGTTCAAATTAAGCAGCAGAAGCAGAGGAAAAAGTAACAGTATAGGCATTATTAACCTGACTTTTTCCATGCTATAATTTACATGTTCTAGTAAATTAGTGTCAATTTTTCACTAAATATACTAACTCCTATCACATACATGTTATGAAGCATATAATGAGAGAACAGTTGAGGCTGGGAAGGATTCCTGGAGACCATCTAGTCTAGACCAGCTCAAAACAGGGCCAACTAATGGAACTTGCAATGTCCATTTGGGTTTCGAATATCTCCAAGGATGAAGACTCTGCAACTCCTCGATGCAACCTGTTCTAGTGTTTTATCAACCTCACAGTATTTTTTTTTTCAGTTTTCTTTTTTCTTTCTGCTTAAACAGAATCACTGTTATCTCATTTTTGCCCACTGTCTCTCCTCCTTTCACATGTTATCATCATGAAGACTCTGTCTACATCTTTCCATCCTCCCATGAGGTATTTATACATCCTTTATCCATTTATACAGTATTTATACATATTTACACTGATAACATCCTCCCCAAGTCTTCTCCAGGTTCAACAATGTCAGCACCTTTCCTCATATATTAGATGCTCCAAACCCTGAATAATCTTTTTTGTCCATTTGCTAGACTCAATCCAGTATGTCCATGTCTGTCTTGTACTGGTGAGCCCAGAACTAGGACACAGAAGTCCAGATGTGCACTCACCAGTTCTGAGTAGAGGGGAAGGACCACCTCCCTTGATCTGATTGCAACTCTTCCTATTGGAGCCTAGTCTTCCCAATGCAATCTTACTATATTATGAAATCAAGGAGAGGAACATTAAAATCTTTGGAGTATTGAATGCTCTCCCTTCTCCCAGTTAGCAGCTATTTTTCCTTACTGAAATGATGAATGAGAGATCTCGACAGAAAAAACAGTTATGACAGGGTGGGAGGCTGGAACTTGGAAACAACTTGGAAACAGGAATTTCTTCCATCCCAGTTGGTTTACACATCAAATTCCCCCAGTAATCAGCTTTTCACAGAAAAGATACAGAAAATACTGTTACAGAACAAATGCAGCAAAATGCAATGAACCTAGCTGTAGCATATATCTTTTTTTTTTTTTCTTGTGAAGTTGTTATAATACATACTGCAAGTTTAGCTTTAATGATGATTTAGTAAGATAACAGAGCAGTTAAGATACTGGCAGTTTAATTGAACATACAAGACCAGGTGGCATGGTTTCAGGATTTTTTCAGTAGAACACAAAGATCGTAATTTACTTTTTACAATGCTGACCACAGGTTGGAGTTGTAAGCTCAGATATGCTAAAGACATAATATCCACTAGTCAAACAAAAGGACAAAGGTCCGACACAAATTGGCTTTTCCATTGTGAGAACTTCAAAAGTAAAAAGCATCATCAGGAAAAAGTGTAGAGCCATAATACTTTTTTTTTTTTCTTTTTTTTTTTTTTTTTTTTTTTTTTTTTTCTCCTCCCAGTGATGATTAGGTTTAAAGTATAACATTCCTTCACTGTGTTCTAAGCTACTTACTGAAAGATCAAGTTACAAGGCCAGCAGCTTTTGAATTGGGGAGCAAGTGTCAACTTTGATCAGCACTTCTCAGGTCTTGTACTATAATCATTGTCCCCAAATGGGAAATTTACAGCTAAAATTTTATCAGTGGTTTCAATACAGCTTAACAAATCTATTTTAAGGAGAAAGAATGATGTGACTTGAACATGAGTATAGCAGTCTGAAATACATAGTTGGCTGCTGAATCATTATCATAACAATTATAGATGGCTCAAGATTAACTAAGAGATAATTTCTGGATACCTGCTCCAAGAGTCACCAACATAGATCTCTTTCAATAAATATTTAATATTTTAATTTTAATTATGATTTACTATTTTATTTAATATTTAATTAACAATTAATATTTATAAAGATTGGAAAGAGCTGTATTGTGCCTTGATCAAATATGCAGGTGATCTAAAACTGTAGAGAAAAAAGATATGGCACTTGATACAACAGAATTATAGTGACAGATAAACACTAGGAACCAAGTAGGAAACAGTAGGAATTCTGCAGTGTCTGTAAATATACACGTGTGTGCACGTGTAGATATATATTATAAAAACATGAACTATCTGTGAACATGTATACATATATGTCCACACTCATATACCTATAGGCATACACACTTTAGCTGTTAAAATACAGCTTTGACACAAGCTGACTCTAGTTACAGTTTGAAGACTCTTGAGCAGAAAAATCATGTGAAGAAATCCACATAAATAAATGAGATAATGTAACCCACATAAAAAAACTGAAGGCTTAATTCTAAAGAACTAGTAGGAAAAATCCCACTGATTCCAATTAAAGTCCACCCAATTCAGACACTGAGGTGAAGATTCTGGACGTGATGCGGGTGTAGAAACTCACAGAAAGACAACAGAGACAAGAAATAACATCCTAACTGAGCAGTAAGGTGAGAAAAGGGTGTACTTTTTTCTTTTCTTTTTTTTTTTTTTTATGTCTAGCAAATACCAAATAACAAAGTACAGAAGAAAGAAAAGGCAGACTTTTCAAAAGTTTTCATTTTTATCAGACCAACGAGACATTGGTCTAAGGTCAACATCATCTCTGGAAATGTTAACCACACAAACAGACTAAATTATCTCAAATTATAAGTTCCTAAATTTAAACTCCTCTATTCTCAGTTGGACACCGTAAGTGGCAAGTTTTCAAGAAAAACTGTGATGGTAATGAGAAGTATATTATAGCGTGGTTAAAAAAAAAAAAAAAAAAAAAATTAATTGTACTGAAGATCAAAATGCAAAAGGAAAGCACATACTTTACATGCTTTTAAAATTTTTATCATTGTGATACTGTCATAAGGGCATGTTCTAGGTAGGGAAAAAAAGAAAGTGATAATGGAGAGACTTTTGTAGCCAAGGCTGATGCACCCCCAGAGCAGGAACAGACTAAGATACAACTAATAGGTTTTTGTCTTAAACCTAGACCTAAGAACACTAAAACCGCCTAACCACTGAGAGTACGTAAGGATTTTGTGACATTCCAACAATACAAATAACAAACCCATGCAAAAATCATTTCTGTAACACAGCTAAGCATATACATATATATTTACATGTATGTATATACATATTGGAAAGGGGCATACAGAGATTTGTGGTACATCTGCACAAATGGGTTGCACAATGGTGCACAAATACATCTGCAAACAGCAAAATCTGCACAAAAGGCAAAGCACATAGAGCAGGCAGGAAAGATGTCCAGGGAAATGAAAACTAAAAAAAAAGCAGAAAGTGTCTTATAAAATCAGAGTAATTCTGCAGAATAAGCGAGAAACAGGCCTGGCAAAAGCCAGAATGCCAGGACCCCAGAATAAAAATAACTATGACAGGATGTGTGAGAACCATAATACAATAAGGACAGAGGAAAGACTGTGGGGGGAAAAAAAAATCTCCTTCAGTTCCAGCTTTCCATGTTGAAGAGCTCTCAACTCTGACCGCCTTGATTTCTGTGACTAAAACCATCAAGGACTAGAGCCATCAGTGCTAACCATACAGTATCAGGTCCATGGGGTTTTTTTTACACTCATCAGTTTACAAGATTGTTAAGGAGTAATACTCTGAACGTGTGTTAATAATAATTGCCAGTGCATAAGAACTACACTTTGGCAAAGGGTATTGTTACTCTAGATCAATGTTGCTTTGGAGCTGGCCTTATTTACTGGCCCTCTAGAAATGTTCCCATCACTGTGATTTCTAATTCCCCAATACATGCAAAGATACACAGATATAACATATATACACACATACATATATTCAGTTGGAACACTTTCCATGTTTGTCTCCAATGATAGCATTCTGTCATGACTGGAAAAATCCCAGGGAGTTTGCCACCAGGTTTAAATAATTACTTAAATCTTGTTAAAGCTCATTATAAGCTTTTCAAATTTTTGCTCCAAACAAAAATCTGAACAAGAATAAGAACCTCTGGAAATGGAATATTGGCATACTGACTAATTGAGCACCACGTGATGCAGATGGATAAATAAATAAAAGTCCTGTTCTTCAGAAATATGAACCCAGTTTAAAAACAACGATTCCTATCCACATCAAAGCAAAATAAGTCACATCTGTTTGGAACTGAAAAATGAAATGCAGAAACATAGATGACAGTTGAAATTTCACTAGCTACATTATTATGAAATAGTGTCTTGCTTTAGTTTGTTTCTTTAACTGGGTCAATACGTTGTCAAGATATTGTTTATCCCCAACCTGAGCTGAGTTAAACTCACGGAATATGACATTTCAGTATTGCTGAAAGGTAAGATGAACATATGCCCTAATAGTCTGTGCATGGCTGGTAGCAGTAGGAGAAGGATACTGGTTATGTGTAGCAAATGCCAGTTTTCTTCAAGAAGCAGATTCTCCTTTGGCTCAGAAACAGTGCAGACAGCATTCACTGGAAAGGAGGGCTTCACTATTAGCCCATGAACGTGACCTTCCCTTATCATTAATTAGTACATGGTGTACTCAAGTTGTCTTTTGTGCTCCTAAAAAAAGCATGGTAATCTCTGTCTAAAAACGTCAAAAGATCTTTATATGCTTCAGAACAGATAATTTTCTACAGTTAACATTTGTAAGGTCAGTCGGACATCCATAAAATGAACTTGGTGAATACATAATATCTTCTGTTTTCCCTTGGGTTGGCTGTTAATCCAATGGATGAGGCAAGGCTGTTCTCATCTGCTACATATTCTTGGGTTTCACCCTTAATGATGAAAGGATATAGACACAGCTCCTAGCTGCAGAAAGTTTTGTGCTGTTCCCATTGTTTAAAAAAAAAAAAAAAAAAAAAAAAAAAAAGGTGGGAGGAGCATAATGTATTTAACACATAAAAGAAAAGGACAAGTAGGATTTGTGTATAATATACAGAAAAACAAACATAAAAGTAAAAATAAAAAAGGTTTGCTGCATCCCACCTTAAACATTATGTAAGAACATCTAATCTCTACCCATAAAATGAAAAAGGCTGTGAAAAATTATTCTCAGAATTCTTCAATCTGCATGTCTCTGCAGTCAAATTAAGGTATGGTCCTAACCAAACCCCGGCAGAATCTGCAAATAATTTTTGTGTAAATTGAATCTGATCCAAATGTCCTGCTCATGATTGTCGTGAATACTTAAGAATGCTCTAAAGTTTATCTATAACCTTAAATTCATGTTCACAGCACCACAGGGTGGGGTCAGTAATGCTCAGAATTTTACAGTGTCGAGTCCACAGCTTTGTGAAACGAAATGAGTGAGTTTTACATTTGGTATTAACAACCCCATGAAACTTCAGTTTCTAGTGCTAGAAGCTGACATTCATTACAACTTAACATTAGCCCTCTGTGACTTCACTCCAGGGGCTCAAAAAAACAATGAATTCATCCTATTCCCCTGTGGTTTACACTTAGCTCAAAAATTAAGACTGTCTGTCCTCATGAAACACATTCTCAATTAATGCTTCATTTTAATATTTTCCTAGAGTAGTCATTTTGCATAATAAATTTGTTTCGTGAGATGTTGCTCTGTGGAAATGTGCTCTGTATGTTATTTCTAAAGATGTCTTCAAATAGACCAACTGACAGTGCAAGAAGATGAATTTTATTACTTAAGCAGTTTCCTACACAGGTGTCTTACAAATTTTGGGGACTGGAAAAAATTCCATCAAATATTTCACTTTTTAAATCAGAGACATTTACTTATTTATTTACAGACTTCAACACCTTTAGAAAGTACAGCTTGCAAAGTGTTGGGCCTGAAAAAGGCTTCCTTGGGCAAAGTAGTATGGAAATGCCAAAGAACGAGACTTTTGGTGGATATCATAACACATTTTGTTAGCATTATATTTTCTGCATTAATACTTGTAAGTTCTACTTCATATTCATGAATAATTTTACTAATATTCTTATTATACTTCATTATTACATAAATACTAAAAATATTTTAAACATTTAAAATACAGTTTCTTTTTGGAAAGGTAAACTATGTGGTCCAATATTAATATACTATCTTTTGTGTGTAGATGACTGTTATCCTCAGCTACAATTCAGGATTTGTTTATGCAACAGTGAGATAAATATATCACATCTGCAACGAGTAACAGCACAATGGGAAATGTTGTCCCAACTTGTCCTCCAGTGTCTGTTCATTTTTTAATCATTTGCCTTCATTTTTCTACATTTGCAGAACTATTATACAAAACTGTGAGCCTTATATGAAAATTGAAATAATTTTCTGTATTTTCATGCTCTTAGAATCTGACCAGTTAATATAACCTCAAACCACTATATAGAAATCCATTTGCTCCACAGAGCTTTCTCTTACCCATATGTCCGTTTCCTCTCATGCATGAACAGAGACCACAACGCTGAGACTACAGAAGATTGTGTAGACCCCAATTTCCTCAACTATATGAACACAAAATACTTGTCCTCCACAAAGAAATGGTGCATAACTCAGCTTGCCTCCTTTACATCACATCATATCACCATAACTAGATAGATATAAAAAAAAAATATCCAGATTCCTTTTACTCCATAGTCACTGAAGAGGTTATAAAAAATTTAAAAAGGCTTAAAGACTCTTCTTTCCACCTTTATGGTACATAAAAAGGGGAGTCTGAGATTGCCTTGAGCAAAACCAATCTGTTTCTCCACATTTTCCAAAAAGTGACACCTCACTGTAAATTACAAATGTAAGTTTTTATCTTACAATATGGAAGCCATGAATGAAAGACAGTGTTTTAGTCTAAATCTGTGAAAATTTCTCACGGCACAGAATATGAGCTTTTAATAGGCTGACTGAAAACCAGTGAGAATTTCAGTCATCCAGCATCTTTGTATTCTATGTGTGCCCAAACAGTGGAAATTAAAAGTGATTTTTAATGTTAAAGCACAGTTTTCACAAGGACTCTAGCAGTATTTTCTCTTTAGTCTAAAAAAGTCCGAGTCCTTCTCATTGCTACAGTATCTGTTATCTGGCTCTTCAAAGGCACTCAAACATTATGTGCTATAGAACACTGTAGCGATAGGCAACTATAGGGTTTACATTGCAGTTCTTTGATGAGTTAAAACTGATTTGAAAAGTGCTCAAGTTCAAGGAAATATAACTCAAAAAATCTAGAAAATAAAAGATCAGTAAAACATTCTACCACATATAACTTCTAAACATTTTTTTTTCTGAATTTATTAAAAATAAAAATAAAACATTGAATGTTTATTGTACTTGTATATGTTTTCATGTGATTCTTTTATAAAAGACATTTAACATTTTTATTCAAGTTACTCTGAAACATTCTCTATGCACAGTAATAATGAAATCAAGAATAACCCCTATTCAGCTGGTTGCTTATGGTGCCACAAGAACCCTTCTCTAAATTTTACTCCAGTACTTCTGCTTGAAAATTAATGCTTTTGTCTACAACTACTTCACCAAGTAAGAATAACAAATTTGCTCTTTGCAAATTGGACATTATAAGTTTTAGAAGAATGATTGTGCTTACCACCAGCTTACAACCACATAAAAACATCACACAAAGATATATGCATCATTCGTAGAGATAACTCCCAGGTGTTGTCTTGGAAAGAGAACGTGTGTATCAAATGTGACTTAGTTGCTTGATACCATCAGCCAGTGTCAGTGATTAATGAGCAAGAAAAGGCAAAGCCACGGCATGCTTTCCCTGCCAGAAACAAAATTTCAGTACCTGAATTTCCCAGGGTTCAGTGATTGCTTCCCAGTCATTTCGTGGATCTATTCCTCCCTACAACATCTCAAAGAATCTAAATAAAAATCTCTTTCCAAGAAATAAATGGCCTACTCATAATAAAGTGAACAATGTTTAATACTCAGCTACTGCAACTAGGGAGAGTTCTGTAAGGATTAAACCAACAGATTTCCACTTACATCCACTATTTCACATCCACTTTGAAGTGGGTAATTTGAAGAAAAGATGTGGGCCAGATCTCAGGTAAAACGGTCAGAGGAAAATAATTCTTCAGCTTCACTTCACTGCGGAAGTTTTAAGTAGAAGAAAAAGAAAATTTAAGATATTAAGCTATACTCTGATACTTACATTTTTTTTATTTAAAGAACACATTTTATTTAATAATTTATAAAGCGTCTTGCAGCAGAATGGAAATTCTCTGTTATTTAATAGGAATAGATCCCCCTCACTTATTACCAAAAAAGGAGGCACTAACAAGTTTTGTTAATCAAATAATCTTTTGCTCACCTAAGCATTTACATGCACTTTGCAGCATTTCTAAAGTTTCCTCCTGATCCACAATGGCCACATCAGCGAAACCAAAACATTCATTTTCCATATCTCAGAATTTTGCACAGTATTAAAAGACAGGGTGTATCGTATTATTTGAACGTGATTATTTGCCAGACTATTTATTAAATGCCCACATCTGTCAAACTAATTAATCCTATGTCAGCCATTCTTAGGAAGACAACAAAGATGATGTTGATAAGGTTCTGAACAACAAAGTCACCTGGGTCAGAAAAGCCACTGTAGCCAGTTACTTCAATTATCTAGACAGTCCCTTCAGTTAAAAATATGATGCAGGGTTAAATCCTAAGAAATTTCCAGAACACGTAGAAGAACTTCATGAGCAAAGAATCACTTCATATTTCAGAAGTTCTACTTTTTCTGTATGTTTCTAGAGTATATAAATCTAATATATCATGTATCTCTATATCTAATATATCATATATATACTACTAATCAAGCAGTTATTAACACGGAGGTCTTTCATTAAACAAGCTTTTTTTAAAAAAAGTTTTTTCCATGTTTGTTTGCTAGCATACAGTGATGAGTATAAAAAGGGAACCCTGACTAATGTTCTTAATGAACAATAGAATATTGTAATAAGAAATAAAATATATTAGAAGCCATAGGAACAAATAAAGATTCAGTAGGGGACGTGGAAGCATATATACTTGAAAAAATACACATAAAAAGAGCTAACAAATATCACTTTAAAAAGTGTAGCCCATGGTTTGTAACATTTCTATTTTATAACATTCATGTTCAATTATCTCCGCTTATGTTAATTTTTTGACAGATACTTTAGTATTAAGAAAATGTTTTAACAAGATTTTTACAGCTTGATTACAGATGAAGATGGCTAAATTCACAACTGAATTTCAACAAGCAGCAATTTCAGTAACTGATAAGTGTATGCAAATAAAGAATGAGATTTTAACATGCATTAAATTGACTATAACGTACTATTGGGAAATAGCTTTTGCAACAACTACCTAAGGTTTAGAAAACTCTGATTTCAAAGTAGCAAACACAATTGTAATTGTGTTTTCTTCCTAATATCAGGACTTCACAGAAACAATATGCTTTATTGTAGTTTCTAAAACATTTTTTTCTGCAAGGATCTTTATAAATTCCTCTTCTGGAGTTCTCTCTCCTAATAAGAGGCAAAGGCAGAAAATACCAGAAATTATCTCAAGAGAGTAGTATTTTTGTGCTCCACACCAGAGGAACAAAAGTCATCTGCATCAGTAGAAAAGAATCTTCTATTATGTGAAAAGCCAATAGTAAGAGACCTTTCAGGTACTACAGATTTCTCTTTACAGTTCCATTTCTCTGCATTTAGTTTTCTAAATCACTGGGGTTTTTTTACTCCTAGAGAAAAAAAAAAAAAAAAAAAAAAAACAAAAAAACAAAAACCCAAAACCACTCAAAAAAATCCCAAACCCAAATCACCAAACTCATTTATGCTAATGCTTTCCTAGTTCGTGTTTTTCCTAACATGTTGTCTAGTACTTGACTCGCATCCAATTCAAATGTTCCAAGTACTTAAAACTAATCATACTCCTAATTTCAACCATTTAAAAATCAAAACTCCGTCTTAAAAACCATGATAATGAAATGTGATAGTATTCTCAAACCACCATGATTCTTCAGAGACTTACTTTCATTTAACGACCCTGATTTCAGATCGTGCTAAAGGTTACATGTGCTAGCCCAAAGATTTGAATTTTTTTATATCATTAATTTTCCTCTGATTTGCAGATTACATTTGAAGAAAAATGCTTCATTTCCTTATTCTAGTCAGATGACTAACAGTCCCTTAATAATTCCACTCACGCTCTCTTTGCTGTTTTTATGTGCTAAATATCTGCAGACCTTTATGAACGGCATAGGTGTTTCTTTAACTAAGGCACGCATATTTAACTTGCTTAATCTTTTCTCATAAATTATTCTCTTACTCTCCAAATAATTTTTCATGCAGTTTTCTAAACTCACTCCAATTTCCCTAATAAATATCAATCCTGAAATTTTAAGGAGCAACTCAGTCTTGTTGGAATTGACTTCTCTTAAATGATAGGAAGATAGCAAATATTGAATGTATGGTTCTTAAAGAGTAAATACAATGCCTCAAAAGTTTGGTCACAAGATCAGTCTGTATTAATTTGTATTTGCTTGTGAATGTGAAGACTTACATTGAAAGGGGATGGTATGCTGAATACGCAGTGGAATGGTAAAGAACAATAATGGAGAATATGCAGGAAAGGATGGTATTAACAATTTTTTCATGTTTAAGTTATTCATTCATAAAGCAGAACTAGTATATACAGAGAGAACACAATATTGAAATACCTGTACTTAGAAAGTTAAAAATATGACAGAAAGTAGAGGAGAGGGATTAACCTTGGAATAAAATTCTATCATGTCATATGCAACAAAATAAAGGGGAATTTGTAGAATGGGCTACCATACCCATATTAGCTTAAGATAACTAGCAAAGTTAACCATGTCTGTGAAAGTACAATGGAACAGGCAGACAATCAATCTGGCAAATTTGTACCCTGGCTGTGAAGGCAAACTCACATATTTCAGGATAAAATTCTGTGCATTGTACATAATAAAAATCTTATGTCAAGTCTATAACAGTCGGTTTGTAAATGATCAAAATTTCAAATAGATCCAGTGCTTCTTGGCTAAAATGCAAGCTAGAAAGTGCAACAATTTATTTCTTCTACTAAAAAAAACCTCATAAGAACTAAAAAGAATACCACAGGTCTCACAGCATGAAACAGCTGCAATTTTACAGAGAGAAAACCCTAGATGAAGGACTGAATTTTAGTTGTATATCTGTATGGTTCAAAGCACTGTTTCAGGTGACAGATGCCACAATTAATAGAATGCATGAGATTTTATTCAGATGATGAAAAATAAGAAATAGTGAACTCTTACTTTCAGATACAATTACGCAGTCAATGTATGCAGCCTGGAGCCAGGCATAGAAATTCTTCCTCATGGAAATGACTGAAATAAGTATTACAATTCATACTAAAATGTAAGCAATTACACTGCCATTTAAGAAAAAGGGAGAAAGAATAAAATCTAGTCTTTCTCCTTTAAAGTGCTTATAGTTTTTTTAAGTGAAGAAAACCCAAAACCGTATTGCAGGTGCAATCTTACTACAGTAAGTTTATTAATACAGTTAACTCTAAGAACTGTTACCCAGAAGAAAAGGATTTAAACATAGTCACTCACTTTGCATCCCAGGATTTCTTTTATATACTTAAGTTTCCCCAAAATTTTGCACAGCAGCACACGTTCAATTGTACCAAAGTCTGTTTTAGACATAACTGATTCTAGCTTGTCAAGCATCTTGCACGTTAGTACGCCTTCGGATTCAACATGCCTTTTGTGTATTTGCGTGTTTTTTCCTAAGAACATGTTATCTTTGTGATATATTTCCCTTATATTGGTGGCTTTGCCTCTCAGTCTCAAATACACTATTCAGTATCTATGCTTTTTGCAGGTAATACTGCATATGAAGAGCTACAAGTTTTACCATCTTTTAATATTTTTCTTATACTCTGGTCAATAAAGTTACATCGCATCCTATCAGATTAAGAAATCAAGATGATAAAATAATGAAATATGGGGAGGTTCACTGAGTGTCTCTATAACAAGAAACTCTCCTTAGCAGGTTCAGGAGAATGAAAGTATTCTGCCATTTCAGTGTGGTTACTGTCTGCGAGTCATTTGTGGTCCATTAACAAGGGCCAGTGTCTCAGCAGGGGTAAACTGAAGTGAATGAAGCTATTCTGTATTATAACTGCTAAGCATCTGTTACTGAATGTTTAAGTCAGTTATTTCCAAATGGTGAGTTAACTACTGAATTTTGCCTTTTTTTCTTCTGATCATGAATACAAGAACAAACATTCTCAAATGTTTTGAAGTTACTTATAATTTTGTTTAAAGTGACTAATTCCTGATCTACATTTAGGGATTCAAAATGCAGATGAAAAATTTTACCGTAGAAAATCATACTATAACTGATTAAGCTAATTCAACTACTCCAGAGACATGCATTTCAAATTATATAGTTGCTCCTAATAATCAGAGAAAATGCTAATGTGATCAGTCACAAAAGTGATGCAGTCAGAGTACCCTGATACACAGTCACTTTGTTCCCCTTAAGATTTCATCCTCCTCTTTCAAAAGCCTTGGAATGAGAATGACCCACTTCTAAACTTCAGAAGTGGAGACATCTTTATGCCAGCTTATAATAGATCAGTAATTCACTGACCTGACCTGTTTTGAGAAAGGTCTTTTTCTCTTCCTTGGCTAGAGACATAGCTGTCAGAAGGATATATTTAAACCGAAATTTTACAAATTTATAACCCTCCCCATTGAAGATCATATACTAATTTCTTCAGGCATGCATTGAGGTTAAATAGTTGATAACTATGATTCTTATTTC